ACATTTCAAAAGTCAGCCACTTCGATTCGCAAATTAAAAATGCAAACCTTTTAAATGCTTATTAATTCATGAATACAAGCCTTCAATGAAAGGAGAACTATTATTAATAAATTAACGCAAAACGGATTGAATAGCACCGGAGACAGAATTGTGTAACAGTCTTGCATAAAAACATCACTATTAAATTATTAAGATGTCTTCATCTGGTAATTTGTTATTACTTATGTTTTAAAATAGTTTATAGGTGAGATTGCGATGTTATCTTGCGTAAATATCGCCTGGAACAGGTAGATCGCCAATCGAAATCATGTGTCAATTGACACGATACTAAATTTAAAGCGAAATTTAGGATGAGCACGACTTGGAGTATAGAAACCGGATAAAATCGTATTCGGCCCAAATTTAGTGTTTACTTTTCCTTTATTAGCCCAAATTCCTTCCAATTTGGTGGTATCTGTTTTAGATTACCGAGTAATCACTAATCACCAAAATGTTATTATTTATTAAACCGAGAGAAAAGAAATTTTACTGGAATAACTGTAACTTCACATTTTCAACATCCAGGAAATGCACCACAGGAAAGATTAAATTTTGTAACTTAAATTGTATTGCGTAATCTTAAATCAATATGTATAATACCTACATAACAATTAGGTTTCTACTACTGCTTTGGAAAGTGATATTTAATTTCAGAATAATATGTAAAGGAGAAAATGTATTACAATGAGATTCCAATTCGATTAAATTATAGAAAATTTGCGTTCGTTTCATAATGATTGTTCCCCCACGTTTTGTTGATATGCGAATAATGAAATATTTTTGTAATAGAATACCCTATAGATATGTTGTCCCATATTCTTATTAGCATTTTCCTAGGCATTATAACCATAGTTTAATTTTAAAATTTTGATCCGACGTTGCCACGTATTTCATTCTTTTTGAATTTTTTAACACATGACTGCTTCATAAAAAAAATCGCAATAACGTTATTTGTGATGTGTGTTGGAATATTTTATGGAAATATAAACAAAAGTACGCGATTTGTTATGGTATCAATTGAATAAAATTTTAATAGACTTTAATAGAACAGATTGTCAAAAATTTACAATTTTCAAATATCGATATTTCAGTTTTTTCAGTAGAACATTCTCTATTTTATTATTGCTTCTTACTTTATTTTATGTTTTCTTTCATTCAGTATGTCGGTGTCCCTTAAAAAAGTAACAAATCTCAACAACCGTCAACTTTAAATGTAGAAAATAGTGAACAAAAAGAAAGAAAGCAAAAAACAGAATAAGATGTAGTAATACAATACATGTTCTATTTGAAAAAACTAAAATTTCGATATTTAAAAATTGTTATAATTAATGGTTTTTTAAAAACATCAGTTTATTAAAACCTAATACAAAATGTTTTAACCGAGGTGTTAAAAATAAGACTATTACGCTTTTTTTCAATTGTTCGATTGCTAAAAAAATGCAAGAAAGGTGGAATAACTTGGCAACGTCGCAACGAAATAAACTGTGGTTAAACAGAATATATAAAAATACACAGGCTATTCCATTTGAAAAACCTAAGGGCCAGTTTATACAATGTTTTTACTGAGATTAAGTTGAGAATTTTAAATTCTCAAGGTCGTTTGACATTTTCGCAATACATATAGGTTATAACTTATAACACTTTTTTGTTGTATGATACGTTTTCTTAAAAGAAAATAAATTAAACTACGAACAAAAAATACTACTTTAAGTTTTATAAAATATATAGCATAAATACCATTTTTCTACAGTTAAAGAAACAGCTTGTTGATTAATGAACACTGTCTCACTACTAAACAAAACAACAACGTTTAAAAGTCTTATAAAGCAGTGAATGAACTTATTTAAAATCTGGTTAATCTTCACAAATTAGGAAATGTTTTATAGACGCATATTCACATATAACATAACATTATAAATAATAGAGTAGGTATCAATTGAAACAAAAAGTTTGCAATATTTAGTGATCTCTGTTGTATTTTTTTTTGTGCTTATAAGTGTAAGTTTCAACTAATATGTAAAATTTTAAACTGAAGAGCTTAAATAAAAGAAGCAAATAATTGTATTTTTTTTTCTTGCTATCCGAACGGAACCTGTCGCTAACGGCCAATTTCATATTTCCTTTATATTCCATAGATCCTACAATATGAAAAAGTAGGTCGCTCGTTTTCGTCTGTATGTCGTCTATTAGTGAATTTATTAGATAAATAATCTCTGAAACTACTAGACATGTTATCATGAGATTTTAGGTATATTTCAGATGATGAAACACTAACCAAAATTTGTCTGTTCATGCCCATTAAAAATAAGGTGGCGTCATTTCTTTTTTTTTTTAATAACTCGGATCTAGAATGTGCATAATAATATTTTCTATCATATATATACATATCGTTTAAATATCCAGCTTTATTTTTAACCTTGGGCATGTAGATTTTTGGAAAAAGAAAATCAAAATTTTAGAAAACCGATTGCTCTGAAATTTTGCACATCTTTCAAGTTAAATTAACCAGTTTGTTAATGTTATTTAAAATGTTCAGAGTGGGCTGCCTGTACATGTAGTGTAGTCTCTTGCAGACTTCTATTTTTTTAGAACTGATTATGCAGGATGCCCCCAAAAATAAACGAACGAAGATCATTGCGTTATAAAATTCAGTTTTATGGAAGAAAAAATATTGAAGCAATAATTTATTATTAACCTACGTAGTTACTTAAACTCCAACTTAACTACTTAAGTCACGCTAAATGTAGCAGTTAGGTTAGGTCAAGAAATCGTTTGATACAACTGAAAATATTTCGTGTTGTGGAGCAAAAATGCTTGTATTCGCTAGGCAAATCCATATCGAAATATCACCACATTCTTATTAAGTATATACACATAAACAGCAAAAATTGTTACACTAGAATTTCATTCGTAAACAAATAAATGGAGCTTGCATTTGCCAGAAGCTATAAACAGTGTTATCTTCTGATATTTTTTACATTTCATGTTGCTTTGTTTTGTAATTGACAAATATAGACCTCAACAAGTAAACAAAAACAACTCCTATCTATTGTATTACTACAAAACTGTAATCTTGAATACAAGCTTCTATTTATACACGCATTAAGCGCTCGAGGTAGTAAAATTGAGACAATAAAAACACAACCGGTCCTGGCAGGATTTTTTTAATGATGTAAACTACAGACAAACTGCTTTGTCTCAATCCCATTTATAATTCATAACCAACAACATTGCAATTGTCAAATTATAATTATCAGATAAAATTTACACAGTGTAGTCAAAATATGTACATAATTTTGCGATAAATTCGATAGCTAAATTTAATTACTAAATTTTCAGTAGTTTCGGCATTGTCTGTCGTATTATAAAATCTCCAATAGACGTAGAGACAGACAAGATGGAAACGGGAGACCCATTTTTCATACTCTTGGAGCCATGAGACGTCTATAAAATATGAAAATAGTCTTTTTCTCTAGCTTACGTTCGGAAAGTAAAAATAAATACAATTCGATTGTGTACAAGCTTCAAACGGTTAAACCACTTAGGAACAGATATATCCACGACAAACAGGTCAAATGCATGATACATTTATTATTATGCTAAATTTTTCATTTTCTAATACATATTAATGATCCACGATATAAAAATACTTGGATCGTCAACACTTATCTACACGCCCCACATTCCAAGAGTAAACTTGACAGACTTTGCCCGTTGTCCTGTTGATGTCAAAATGGTGATTGATGATATCACATGTATATCATACTTGCATTCATATAGGCTGTTCGTATTGTAATTACAAAATTAGCCGTTTATTTTTCAAATTGTTGATGCAGAGGATTTCCACATGTTACTTATTTCCGTCCAAATTAAGTACAGCTGACGTCATAACTCAAGAGTTAATGACGTCACAAACGGATAGCACTCCGCATTTATTATTGCACACTGTATAAAGAACAGCTATGTTTCAAGTGTCCTCCGTGATAACATCTTTTATGGCTCGAACAACCACTTGCATACTATTTGTATATCTCAACTACTAGTATGTTAGAAAGAACATACCGGTACCTTCACAGTGGCAAAGATTTTATGGAAATACCAATTTTTATAAGAAACATGGGAGTTATTTACACTACTGCTATAATTATGTGCTTTAAGTTTTTGTAATACTGCCCATAATTTTAGTTTAAATTCTATGTCGTACTGGAAAACCGGTGATTTCAACGATAAGTAAGAGCCAGTTTACACGATCTACTCCGTGAATGTCCGAGCCAATGAAATAATTAACGATTTCAGCTTACTCCATTTTAAAAGTTGATATTTATAGAATTCGTGTTTATGTACCAGTCTACATCAGTAGATTGAGTTGATTTCTAAACTCATGCCAATTTTACCTTTTAGCTAACAAAGGACAATTTTTTCTGCTAATGTAGCCAATTTTTTTCGATATTTTTTATCACGTAAAGATAAAATTTAGATAGGTAACCATTTTCGTCAAAAGGTTAATGTAACCCGCCCACGATGCCAACATTTTTTCTGCAAATTCTTTACTTTTTAAAAGCAGGAAAGTAAGACGCTATTATATCACTGCGAGCGTTGATACATTTAGCTTAACCGGCCTTAAAATCCGAATGATTTATCTCTGAGTTTTTATAATTTTACATCAAGGCTCGAACTGAAATAAACCGTAACGATTAACCAACAAATCGATTCAACATGATTATGATCGTGTTAAAACGCGTTACGCTATTGACGTTCTAAGATGATAAAGGTCACAAGGTGTGTCTCGCAATACTTATTTATTTATTGCCCATGATGGAACGAGTGCAGGTCAACAAAACGCACAGATTAAGACTAAATAAGCGCTTACGCGTATGTTTGGTTGCCTGTGCAATTCAAGATTGTCGTATTGCATGAAGTCTAGTTCGTATTTTGTATATTTAGTTCATGATTGTTCTTACCAGCTCTAATCCTTCTGGGGGTCCTGCTTCATAACGTCTAACAGAAGTTAATCTGTGGTCTGCCGGCAGAAGACTGGCAACTTCCGTCATCGTCTGAAACGAAAGATAATTAAGTACAGAGGCGGCAACGAGAAAAGGTCAAAGAAATAAATGACGTTGACAACCAAAACAAAGTAACTGTTTTATATAAATATATAATTCAGGAATTTGTTGTAAGGAAGTTGTGAGAGTAAATTACTGGAGTTTTTGCTCGCGGGCGATAGTTGGAGGATGTACTGTGATAAAATCATTTTGACGAATGTCTAATGTTATATTTCTTGACGTTGGAAAGCTAATGGTGAAATACGAAAATGTTCCTTGTCTGTTTGTGTTTGTGCTATAGTTAGTACAGATTGTTCTAAAAGAATACTCAACTTTAAAATTAGTTTCGGGAATTATTACGTAACGATTTCTTAGAAGTACCTTAAAACTGATTAATTTTAGTGGGATAGCAGAACATCGTTTAAAATTTATTTATTTTTCATCCAAATTGGCTAGTTAGTTAAGTGCTATTTTAATCACGGTCTTTATTATTTTTCATTATTTTAAAAAATAAATCGAGGCGAAAAAACTTTTGTTTTTTGTGCTTTTTGACTGATTGTTATATAAACATGCTACAATTTTGACTTAATGTCACAAAGAAATAGACTGATTGTTTAAAAATCACAATCTTAGTTTAAACCTGACAAAAATGTTTGCTACCAGGAAACCACCTCTCTTCTGATTTCATAGCAAACTGAAGTCTACAGTCTAGTCACGATTTCCTAAAATCAAAATGACTACTAATAGATTACATGTGGAAATTAACTTGCATGCATAATATAAACAACGGCAGTCGTTATTACCATTTTACCATCTGAAGTAAGCAACTCCTCCACGCAAAATGATTTAATTAAGAATTCTATTCCTGTCCTCTGAATAAAATAATATTGTCGCCATACATTATCGTCTAATTATTAAATTCGTTCCCAGAATTTTTTTCTCAAATTAATTAAAGTGTTGACAGGCATTTACGTCCAAATTAATTACAATTTGTATCTTATAATTCGTATATAAATGTATCGAATAATTAGCAAAATATAAGTCCTATTAATTTTATTTATGCGCAGAATAATAATAACGCTCTCAAACTAGTAGGTATATCTTCAGATAAATCATTTCAAAACCGCAGCACGATTTATGTTTTTTTCCAAAATATTAGAAACCATAAATTTATTTATATATAGTTACCAAAATAAACGGAAACATCAATAATACGATTTTTTACTTCTCGAGCGTAGGCTAAGGAAGTATTTTAATAAGGTCCATCGCTACTTTCATGTTTTCTTGACGTTTCTTCAGTTTCCGTCTGTCTGTCTGTCGTCAATTTTCATTAGGGAGATCATCTGCGAAACTACCGAACCAATTGTTGTCAAATTTTATGTGTATGTTAGGAATATCGTATAGATGGTAAAGCGTTAACCAAAATGTTTGTAATTATCTCCACCAACAGTGGGATGACGTCAGAATATATATAACATACTCCTGCACTTGTAGTTTATGGATCCGTGTTAAAGCGGAAAACCGATTAGTTCGAAATCGCAAACGTTTTAAGGTTATCATTAGCATGGTAAGTCGTAATATTTAAAAATTTATCTTGGCCTTCTCCCGAAATTGATGACGAAAAATTTTTCCTTATTCCTCCCATCTAAAATTTTGAAAACATTACGAGTATGAATCTACTTTGGTGGTTTATCAATTCATTCATATTTTTTTCTTTAGGGAGGTTATCCCAAAAAAATCGTAAAATCAAATGTTATATTTTTTCAAAGAAGCCTGATTTATTGGACTCTACTTCAGGGACGAGGAAAGTTCTGCAGAAATAACTTTCGACGAATTTTTATGTTGGGTTCAAGTTTAGAAACTGGATTTGACGTCCCTATTACATGCTTTTGTCACTTATACTTATTTCTATTACTGTACTAAAAAATTTAATAAACACATGGAATTTAAATAACATTATTACTATTGTAAATTTTGGAGATGATTTTCTATATTTCCTGAATAAATACAATGTCAGGTGTGATATTCGAACCTACGCTCCCTTTCGAGAATCAGAGCTTAAATCTAACGCCTTAGACCGCTCCGTCAACCTGACTGCACTTTTTAAAATCTGTACTTTGCTACTAAGCTATATGAGGGGATAGTCAGGATAGAACTCGAGTCTGCGAAGGACTCGAGGTCAGGTCGACCGAGCACAAGGCGATGACAAATGATAAAAAGTACTGGGGCTACGGGCTACTAGGCCAGATTCGGGGTCAGGTCGACCCAGCACAAACGTGCCGACCTCAGAGGTCAATGATCGATCGATAAAAAGTAATGGGGCTGCTGGACCAATTTGACCTCATTTGACCTGGCCTAGAAGCCCCACTATATAACTACTGTCATGTGATTTAGTACACTTCCAAAATTTTGAGATGACGTCATCAAGTTTGTGAAACGAATTAATAGAAAAATTTTAATTCGCCGTTTACAATCTTCCTGATAACTTCAAAAAAACATGTGCAAAATTTCAGAGCAGTCGGTTTGTAGTTCCAGTACAATCTGTAAATTCGTGTATAGTCTCTGAAATACTACAAGATTATATGGCCCCTATAAACTTAATAATAGGATGTTATAATTTCTTTTGTGCGGCTGGTTACGGACTCAACCCTAGTGTCATAAATCAAGGATTTGTCTCAATATCTTGTCACTTCAATATCTACTACAATTTGTCTTTTACAACTGTGGGTTTGCTTTATTAACTGCTCCATTGTCGTCTTCACAATGCCCTAATTTTACAACAGCCATATAACCTTGTAGTATTTCGGAGACTATACAATTGTGAATTTTGTATCAAAGAAACGCATAAAGGCTGTCCGAATAAAACTTGTTTTAAATAATTTTTATTTCCCGACTTACTAAGGAAGTATAGTAATCGAATTCATTGACCGAATTGCCACTTTCATATTTTCTCGACGTGTCATGACCTCCAGAGGACAAAAAAGGTGGTCTCCCGTTTTCGTCCTTCTGCTGTCTCTCTGGTGTTTTGTAATCTCCCAAACTACAGGATCGATTGTTGTCAAATTTTATACGTGCATTAACAATATGATGTAAATAGTTAAACGCTGACTACAATTTAGTTAATCATGTCCACCACCAATGAGATGACGTCATCTCCAAAATTTATAATACTTAGTCAGTTTTTTTTAATTTTATAAAATCAGATACTCCTGCACTTGTTAAATATCGAATTTTCACCCTAGACATTCAGATTTTTGGAAAAAAAATTTAAAGCTGTAAACAATATTTTGTAATTTAACTTTAAAAGTGCAGAACCGAATGTCTGAAATCTTGGAAATATATGTTAAAGTTATCGTAATCACGGTAAATCGTTAAGCAAAATTTATTCTTTATTCCCTCCCAAAAAATTGATGACGTCATCACAAAATTTGGATAAGGGAAAGCTCATTTGAAACGTAGCACAGTCAAATTGCTGATCTGTAAAATTTTCGAAATTTTTCTAAAAAAAAACAAAGCTTTTGAGATATATTTTTATTTTTCGATAGATATCTTCCACGCATGCGCTGAATGTTTCAGCGGCAAATTTCTTACATTGATCCAATTTCCTTTCGATTTTTTGGCTCATTTTTCTTAGTAGGTATGTATCTGTATTAAACTCAAATCCTACAACCCTGTTATTATTAGGAGTAGTATTGGTTTGATATGGAATAGATGTCTGTGGACTTTCCATGACCGCTAGAATAATATAACGTTTGAGAACACACAAAATATTTGCTGACGCGTTCTGCCAACCACGTTGGTATTATGTAGTTAAAGTTAAACCATTCATAACCTCTAGGGTGTCTAGGGTAAGAAACAATCGGTCTTCCGTTTCCGCCTGTCTGTCGAATTTTATTACACATTTTTGTTAAATTTTATGCGTGTTGTAAAACACCCCATTGTTGGATAGTCTTTCTTCTTTCTTTATAAGAGGCAGCCGTCATACTTTCTGATAGGAATTTTTGTGTAAACGGAGATGTTATTTCGATTGAATAATGGTTTATTATGCCGTCCCATCGTAAGTAGTACCCAAACTTCCTAAATAACCCCACACCTGACACCATTTAATTTGTAACCCGGTCTAGCAAGACCGATGTGGGTTCCAGCAATATTTGATAAATAAAACAAATCTACAGACTGTTCTTATCTTTTTTTTTTTTGGAGAAAGCTTATTTCCTTTTGGCGTCGACACCAGGTCTCAGATTCACTATTTGTCGTGTGTCTGAAATTATTTTTGATAACGCGCCTTTGCGGTTTTCTCACACAACCTGGTGTCGACGCCGAAGCCAAACAAGCTTTCTCCGAAAAAGGTAAGAGCAATCTGTAGATTTGTTTTATTTATCAAATATTCATAGGACCCACACCGCTCACATAAAAATGTCTCATAGGGAATACTATTCAAATTGTGTAAAATAACATACTCTTGTACTTGTGGCTTACGAATCCGCCTTGATTTTTATCATAATCATTTTTTTGTGCCGTATTTGTCGCGAGTGTCACGTAACCGATATTTGACTTATGCGCATAACAACCCTCCAGAGTTCGAATCCCAACCTCTTTTTTTTTGTTTGTTTGAATATTTGACTCCAGGAACAAGGAAAATCTAAAAAACTTTAGACCAATTTTTTGTTTCATGATCATAATTTTTACCATAAGTATTAAAGCGAAACAAGTTTCATAATTTTCAAACGATTTTTGTAATTGAATCTGATAAAAAGAATTATATAGGTATAGATCAAAGAATTGTCAACAACGAATATTATGCAAAGATGTAACTCTTTCTTTCAGCTGATAAATGTCAAAAATAGAAAAAGGTTTCGCATACATTTAAAATGACAGTAATTGTAGTGAAATTATTGTAAAAGATCCCATCGGAGGAATAACTACTATGTTTTCTCGACGTTTCATGACGCTAGGGTACGAAAAAATATGTCTCCTGTTTCCATTTGTCTGTCTGTTGTTTTACAGACGAT